CCCCGTCATTTCACCCCCACCTTACATCTCCAACCCACCCCACCCTGGAATCAGGCACTCGTCAATTTTTGGGCATATGGAATTATTGGTATCATCTCAAAGTTTGTTTATTAATCTTGCTATTAATTAAAGAAGTATCCATTTATCATTATTAAATACAAGTTGAGATATTGGAGATTGGATTCAGAGGTAAAATTAGCGAGAAAATGGCCATAAAAGTTTAGTTCTTTCCTGAGCTTGGGAGTCCTTGGATACAGACTATTTTCCTTTTTTTCTGATAATAAAATGTTTTTCGGTTAAATCCACACAGAACTGTGTTCTTCAACTGACTAGAAACGTGTCGAACCAAAAACAAAACCAAGGTTCGATAAAAATAATCAAAACCTGCGAAAAAATGCCCAGTTTCTTCTCTTTCGTTATTTGGACAAGCGCCTGATTTCACCACACTGCCTCACATATATTGTCGATCAGAGAAAAGCATAGCACTAGCCCGTATACGAATGCGCGAACCAATATTCAATTCTATCCACAGCGTTGACCTCAGCAAGAATTCCAACATTGTTCTCACCGAAAAACTTGTCAAATAATGTTAATTGATCACCCTTTATCCTGGCAACTTTCCCCAGTTGTTTTCTGCCCATTCTTTTCACGGGCCCAAAGTCGACTCTTAACTTAACATTAATGGGCTCCCATCGCTCTCGGAAGTTTCCAGCCAAAAGAAAGCCCCAAAACTTGATAAAGACACAATGAACATTTTTTCCGCCTGAACATCTGCTTCTCAAAAAATATTCAGATCTTCTTAGTCTGGGAAAAATGAAATTAGAGGCCCTTTAAACTCACGACAAAAACAATAGAATTTAAATATATTCTTGCAGAATCCAAAAAAATAGACTTTCTTCGTGAGAGAGCTTTCGAATGTATAAACGATGTTTAAATGTGCATTTGGGAGGCGGGAAGGAGGTGAGGCTGACCCAGCCAGGTAATGGAAAGAAGATTACTTTAGCCGTGCCAGCTACCTTCATTCCTTCCTTCCTTCCTTCCTTCATTCACAAACTTCGGAGCTCCAGACATGCACATTGAATTACGGGTGGTTGGCGGGTGCCTTGCTGTGGCTTTCTTCTTCTTTTCCACCAAACATCAACACTCCTTATCTCTGCTCCTTGTGGCTCATCTAATCTTTTTTTGGCACGTACATGGAAGAAAAAGAATTTTTACGAGCTCCGACGATCACAGAAGTGCCTCGGGACCGGTTGCGAACAACGATAGCGATATCGTGTAAGCACACAAATTAGTCTGCATTGACTATGAAAATTGATACTACAAAGATTGTTGGCCTCACTCCTTTCACTGTTTTGAAAATATGATAGCATAGACGTAGGGTAACAAACACACTAATAATGTCATCTCTTAGAAGCTTCCCCCATGTGATTTTTCGGCATACTTTTATTAAATGCTAAGCAATAAGATGATGAATTATTTCTAAATCTTTGGTCACTCCGTGCGAGGAGTTGGGAATGAGGGTTGATAACAACAACTGACTTTTACTTTTATCCGCCGCTTATACCCTTTTGGGTGTCGCGGGAAGAAAGAGACGTTTCTCTGTCGCCAGTCGGAGAGCTTGGGTCAGGGGGATGCCGTGGGTGGTTAATGTTTCCCTGACTCCATCTATCCTGTCTTTCTCTGTCGCCCTCTAGCCTTGTTGCCATCGAATATTTTGGTGTAGGCACGTTGTCCTGGGTGGGGGGTGGGGGGTGTTGGTAATCACATGAGCATTTGATTCTTTGGTGTTGGATGTGATGCCTGATACAACAACAACAACAACAACAGCCACAACATCAACAGCAGCATCAACAGCAGCAACAACACCAAGTATGATAACACTACTACTAATTTTTTAAAGAACAATCATAATAACAACAACAACAAGCAACATCATATACCATTAGCATAATATATTCAAATTAATTTAAAAACAACGTGTTTCCATCCAGATCCATCTCTGGCCGAGTCGTGGACTCCGTGTGGTGGTTCTTCTCCCTCATCTTCATCGTCTCTCCTGTAGTCAGATGTGCCATGATAATGTTGAAGATGATTGTATGGTCTACATAATACAATTATTATATTGATCATTGTCAATAAAGCGCTTAAATACAAGAGCACCAAATAAATGTTTGTCAAAACGACGGGTTTCCCTCCATATCAATGTCGGGCCGTATCGTAGGCTCCGTGTGGTGGTTCTTCACCCTCATCATCATCGTCTTTCCTGTAGTCGGATGTGGCATGATGATGCTGAAGATAATTGTCTGGCCTACACAATATTGCATTAAAAGTAAAGTTGTTCCCGCATCGGATCCGGGCATCGAAGATTGCCTTGTTAGTGAGACAACTTCCAAGGCATTCGTTATATTGTGGTAGGGTGGCCAGTTCCTTTCCACGCCGCCTTTACTTCCCCAACTCGAAGTCAGGTACCCATTACTGCTGGGAGGGCTGGAGGGGGCGGAAAATCCTTCTCCGAACCGAGGCTCGAACCCGGACTTTCCGCTTCGGAGATGAGCGCACTAACCGCTCTGCCACCGCACCCTCTAATATTGTGTTGGTGATTGCAAATGAAGTTCTTTAAAACAAAAACTCCAAATTAATTCCAAACTACGTGTTTCCCACCAGATCCATCTCAGGCCGTATCGTAGGCTCCGTGTGGTGGTTCTTCACTCTCATCATCATCTCCTCCTACACGGCCAACCTGGCAGCTTTCCTCACCATCGAGCGGATGGACGTGACCATCAACTCTGTCGACGACCTGGCCAGACAGACGGAGATACGCTACGGCATCACGGCCAACGGGTCCACCGAGGATTTCTTTAGCGTAAGTTAATCCATTTTGGTCGCTTTCCCAAAAATTGTTGTTTTGATAAAATCGAAGGTAAAGTTTTTGGGCCCTGGTTCAGTTTCTTTAAAAGACAAAGAGAGTCTTCTCTATAACCAAACACATATGCACGCCAATGAAACCAAAATTGCTCTATAGGTAATGCAATGCCCACGTTTGGTATAGGTCAAGATTTCGGGAAACCCCCGAAATCTAGGTTAGCCCTCTTGTCTTTAAAAGCGACCAAATAAATTCATGATAATGACGTTATTCTACAGAAATTTGCTCACTTTACGTTGGGGTTGTTTTTTTGGTATGTCGATCTCAAATTTGAAAACTATTCTTTAAAAATTAGTTTGTTCCTATCACGTCAGGATTTTAGCTATGACAAATTGTTTTTCAATACTGTTATATAGGCAAGACATTTTGTGTTATATAAATATATGTGGCAAATTTACTCCATAACATCAGCGCAGAAAGATGACAAATTATTAAGTTTGACTCCTACACATAAATGTTAAATTTTATTTGGTGATGAAGACAAACTATATGTGAGGCAGGGTGGAGGAATCAGGATCTTGTCAAAATAATCAAAGTGAAGAAACGCAAGTTTATGTTTTTTGGATCAACACCTTTCATGCCCATTGGACAACTCACTTCTGAGTGGATTTTTCTGATAAACGTTAATTAAAGGCACAAAAAATGTAAATGTTCAGTTACCATGGACTCTTAAACTAAGGAAATAACTAATCTTTGGCGACCATTTTCCTACTAATTTTACTTCTGAAAACAGGTGACCCCCACCTCCTTCTTTCGCCAATATTTCGACTTGTATTCAAGGTAAATGGATATTTTTTTCATCTAAATAAAGACAAATGAACAAACTTTAGGATGATACCAATAACTCTACATGCCCAAAAATTGACGAGAGCCTGATTCCACCACGCTACCTCACAAATGATTTATGGCCAAAAGACGGAAGAGCTACCTATTGGGGAGAACAAACACATAGTCACAGTGACTGTTGCTCAGACTGCAGATGGGATAATATGCCAAACATAATATGTTTTAGTATTGTGGTGAATACATCGTGCATTTCTGTATTTGTGACGAAACTGTGTATGCTGTTGTAAAATAATATGTACTGATATACTGCTTCCCCTTGGCTCCTTACTGTTGTCTTTCAACCATACCCCCGATTTTCTGGGTAGGAAAGATCTACACCTAACATTCTCTTACAAGGTCCAAAATCCAACATTTTCTTTATGGATCAGTAACGTTTATCCCATGTTATCTTAATTATAGTTATCTTACTTTTCCCGTCATTACTCCCCCCCAACCC